GCATGAAAATACTAAAGAACTCAAAAGTCAAAGACCTAGAATAAACATTGTAATAATGGAAATAAGTCTTCTCAGAAACATCCCATAACCCGCACCATGGTAAGGGGGAAAGGGTGATGAGATTATATCCCTAAAACAGAGACTCAATCAAGTAACCCACAGCACAATGTAGTATCTACATCATTTTCTGTTGTTTTCTTCTAATTTCATTATCAGCATTATTTTACTCTACTTCTCTTCTCATCAGTCTTTTCCTCAAGTAGCAAATAAGGCAGGTGAAATACTACATGTATACCTTTCAAGAGGTCCTGGTGTGGCATTAACAAAAACAATATACCTCTCAGAGACATTCTCCCTGGAAATTTGATTCAATTGAATCCTTAATATCATTATCAATTTGCTACATCTTGTTGTTGTTGTTAAGTGCTGCAGAGTCTGTTCTGACTGTGGGCACTTAACAAAAACAACATCCCTTTCAGATAAATTCCCCTTGAAAATGTGATTCAATTGTATCATTATCATTATCAATTTGCTACTTCTTTTTGTTGTTAAATGCCCATTGAGTTGGGTCAGATTCATAGTGAGGACCATGTACAGAGTTTCCCAGGCCTTACATCTTCACAGGAGCAGAGAGCTTCATCTGACTCCCACAGAGCAGCTGGTAGACTCCAACCACAGACATTGTACCACCAGGTTTCCATTTGCTACTTACATAGATCTAAAATAAAGATTGTTGTTGTTGTTAAGTGCCGTTGAGTCAGTTCTGACCCATAGCGATCCTGTAGAGGGTTTCCAAGGAGCGATTGGTGAGCTTGCACCACCAACCTTGCAGTTCAAACTGACTTTGAGTTCTGTTTATTGAGGGATGAGTTTCCTCCTCCATTTCCTCCATATTGAAATAAGCCAGTTAATTCAATTTAAAGATACCTGAATACTCACCTCGTGTTAAGAGATCAGGGACACAGTGATGACAGGTTTTTACTCAACATCCATATTGCAAACTTGGACTCAATCTCTAGGGAGGGAGCTCATCACTCTTTCCTTTATACCACAACTGGCCCAGTGTCCTTATTAAACTGTATCTGTTTATGTTTCAATCTCTTTAACTGGAGTCTCCAGACCAAAACATACTTGAACTCTCAGAGTCCAGAGTACATAGTAGGTTTTCAACCAATGTAGGCTAAATTAAACTGTATCACAAAGGATAAGTTTCACTGTCAACACATGTAGACAGAGACCCTGTACACACCTTCCTCATGTGCCATGTTTATAGAAAGCAGAGTTTATAACAGAAAAGGGCATTTGACACAACTGTTGAGATTTAAATACAAACTGTATTTTGAGAAAATGACATTCAGTGACATCACATTTGGAGGTTTGCAGCAAAGCTTTACGAGTCTTCATAAACCTAGAAATTTCCTTTCCCATATCCTTAAATAAAATGAGTCCTAGTGTGGTACTATAGGACAAGCACTGGACTGCTAAACACAAGATTAACAGTTCAAACCCACCAGCCAGTCCTTGGAAACACTGTACAGGATTGCTATGAGTCAGAACCAACTCAACAGCGCTTAATAACAACAAGGTAAAGTGAGAGTGCGTTTGGGTACCCACGCTAATTAGAACTTGGTACTTTTATAAGATACTTGAAATATGGTACTTTTATAAGATGATGTCTTATTATTGAGCCCTGTGAATTCAAGCTTGGTAACAAGTGGGAGAAGAAGTCTAGCCTTGCTGAAGAATGTGTGTGTGGTGTGTCCTGCCTAACCTTAACCCTTCCAAATCCTTCATGCACTTTCCATAGTTAGCAACTCAGCAACTGTACCCTGCCGACTATGGCTGGGCCTCAGTGACCCATGTGGGAATTGGGGTGATATGCTTGGGATCAAGGACCTCTGGTAGCATAGTGGTTACGAATCGGGCTGCGAACCGCAAGGTCAGCAGTTCGAAACTACCAGCTGCTCCGCGGGATAAAGATGAGGCTTTCTGCTCCCGTACAGATTTGCAGCCTCAGAAACCCTGTACACGGTCGCTATGAGTCAGAACCGACTCCACGGCACATAACAACAACAACAACAACATGCTTGGGATCTGGGAGAAAAACAAAATTTAGACAATTTGAAATATGAAGATCTTAACAAAGCTACAAGATCATCAGAAACTACTAAAATCCGAAAGTTAAAATGTCAACTTTACATTTTCACTTGCCACTCATTCTTTGCCAACAAATTTGGTTATTAAATAATTAACATGTGCAAATTATTATCAAAAGCAAGGTGGGCTCTGAAATGTAACTGTAAATTTAGAATATGCCCAGAGGTGGATTAACCAGTAAGCAAGGTAAACATCAGCTTACTTTCACATATTGACTAATCCGTAGGTAAGTTGTTGTTAAATGCCATCTGCCATCAAGTCGGTTCAGCCACATAGTGACCCTATATAGGCTTTCTAAGGAGTGACTGGTGGGTTTGAACCAACAATCTTGTGGTTAGCAGTCCAGTGTTTATCCTTCAGAGCCTTGCTTATTGGGTTAATACAATACTGAATATACTCTTACAATGAATGGTCAAATAAAGTTTGATGATGAGTCAGAGAGAATCAAAAAATTTAATAGTGGTTTATAAACAGATTACAGCCCCTATTCAAACAGAGCCAATGTTCAGTTGTTGTCGTTAAGTGCCATTGAGTCGATTCTGAGCCATAGCAACCCTGTATAGGATTGCCAAGGAGCAGCTGGTGAGCTTGAACTGCCGACGTTGAAGTTCAAATGGCTTTGCAGTCTGGCGCATTAACCCACAGTGCTACACCAGGACTCAGTAGGCCACAAAAAATTATTGATGAACAACATGGAACATTTTATCAAAGGTAGATCAAATTAATCACCTCAACTATCCAACTGCTTTATATCCCTATGACATCTGCAAGGTCACACACACTTCAGTCTAGAACTGTCAAAAAGATGGGAAGGGCCTTCATCTCATTTAAGAGTCAGTGTGTTATAGGGGAAAGATGGTCCATTTTGCAAGTCTAGAGCTCTGGGTTCAAATCCCACCTCTGCCCCGTGGTCGTGATGTGACCTTGAAGAAGTCACTTGTCCTTTCAGAACCTCAGTTTCCACATTTCTACAATGGGACAGGTGGATGGGGACAGTGCCAGCTTTCTATAGTTCTTGGGAGCTATCACAAGTGAGCTATCACTTGGGATGAGCAATCACAAGTGAAAGTGGAGAACAACTTGAACTTCCTTCCTTCCTTTTATTCCCTCTGTCCAACTCTCAAGTAGAAACAACCAAGGAAGACAATACAAGTAGCTCAAGGGGAGAAAGAGAAATGGATATGAGAGACTAGAATTGGATACAGACTTTCTCTCCTCTATCTTTACCTCCATCAGGAACACTGGGTTTACTGGGGGGGAGGGGGGACCTAAAACCTATTTTGGGTGCTCTTGTAATATATTTTTCAAAACTTTATTGCAGTCAAATATACATAATAAAAAATCTGCCATTTTAGCTTTTACACGCACGATTCAGTGACATTAATTATATTCACCATATTGTATAACCATCACCTTTCTCCATTTTCAAAACTTTTTGATCATCGCAAGCAGAAACTCAGTACCCCTTAAGAGATTTTCAGTGGACAAATTTCTTTCAGTGCTGAATCATGATTTGTTCAGCAGCTCAAAGGAATCCCTGAGTAACAAACTAATTGGCATGATTGTGTTATGTCCTTCAGTAAGTGGCTTAAATTTTGAAAGTTGTTATTAAACATCCCTATGTAAATAATTTAAAAAAGCAAACCATGAACAAAAATCCATAGGGTTCTAATATAACTTCCTTTGCTTTAAGAAGTTGTTCTAAGCCTGCCTTTGAACAGTATATATAAGAAATACCATTCCCATAAAGGGCTGGCCTGCCAATCTGTGAAGCCCTCATTTTGGGGATGACACAGAAAATGCCATATCACACTATACTAAAAAGGAAAAACGAACAAACTTTCCAGGGTCGAACTACTCCACGACCAATCAAAATATTCCCCTTTATAACTTGGACTGTTTAAATTCTGGAAAACTGCTAGAAAAATTATAGTTTGGTCCAGTGTGGCTCTTAGATTTGGGGGTTCAGAGAGGTTTCTCCCAAGTTCCCCAAGACTTTTAACCACAAAAACCCCACCACCTCTTTCTTTGGTGTTTTGGATGCCTCCAGGACACATGTTGAGATGGTTGGGAAGGAACTTCCACACCACTTTTAAGTGACCATGACTAGTGGCAGGGAAACTGATGACATTTGGGGAACCAGTTACTGAAATGGAAGGAAAAGCTTCCATTCCCTGAGAGGAGATCGTCTGAGAGCGTTGGTCCCACACTTCATTATTAAACATTTCCAAAGAAATGTACCCCTGCCCCAAGACCCCCAACTCCCAAAATATAAACCTTCACAGTACCCTCTGGAGATTTGTACAATTCTAATGGCATCACAGAGAGGCTCTTATTTATTTTTAAATTTCCAAATGAATGAAGTTTTTGCTTCCCATGTCATTCTCTTTTTTGGTCCAAAATTGGCATTAGGCACACAAATCAGTTAAGGACGTACCCTTCCTTCCTTAGGTAGGATTTTGAACTTACAAGGAACTCTTCCTCAAGCTTTGACAGAAAACCCCCATTTTTTTGTTAATTACACGATAGGATTTTTTTTCCCCCCTTCCCAGATGAACATCCACCTACAAGGAAAAAAGGCCATCCCCTCCTCCCAAGGTACAAAAATACAGCGGATCCCCGCACCCCGTTTCCGACCCAGCCAATACATTCATGCTTTGTAAGCTGAGAGCAGCGCCTGGAAGAGAAGCGAAGTCTAAACAGCAGAGAAGGATTAGGCTGTAGCTCCATTCTCATTTACATGAAAATCCCCTACGCATCGTTTTCCTTGCTGGCTGCAGGAGCCTAAGGAACTCTTTTGTGCCATAGCCACGCATACATTTGCATCCTTTGTCTTTACTTACCAGTCGAGGCTGTGGGCAAGTGTGTTCTATTTCCTCCATGGTTTCTGAGGGAGGCTCATTGGAAAGGGATTTTGGGATACCTGTTTCTGACTCAGCATCAGTGGTGAGTACTGGCATGGCCAGCAAACGCTCCCTCCAGCGCTACTCTCTGAGTCTCCTCGCAGACAGAATGTTTTCTTTGTCACGTATTTTTGCCTCCTCTACCCATCCCCCGTCTTCTTCCCTTCTTTTTGTCTTCCCTGGGGACAGTAAAGGGTCCCCCCCCCTCCCCTGTCCCTCCCGGAGAAGCCAGAGGCAAGGCCTCAGTTTATCACTATAACAACCAGCGGGCTCTGGAGCGGTGGGTGCGGGATACAGTATCCTCATTTGTATGGAGCGCGCTGGTTGGCTACTGTCATCATAGTACCACTCTGCTGGGGAGCGGCCGCGCCCTATTGGCTGGCCGGCGGTGCCCACGGGGCCTGAACTTGCTGCTTTTGTTTCTCCTGTTTAATTCGGTTACAAAGGTCTCGGGCCATCCTGGGCAAGGGAACGTGTCTGCACCACCCAGATAAGACAAACCCGCTTCCTGAGGGGCCCAGGACGGCTGGAGAAAAAGCAGAGCAGACCTCCACTGAGAAAGGACCATGCCCTTGGCACAAGTGGAGCATGTGCTGTAGTCAGAATAGTTGCCAAGTAAGAGTCACCCTGAAGACAAAGCCATTTTGGAGCCCAAACCCACGGAGCCCCCAGTTGCCGGCTAACCTCAGAGGGATTCTCAGGGCATTCATGGTGAACACGTGGGTGTTCACCTACCCCACCCCAGGAGCTGCTTGCAACACTAGCACTAAGAGATTCCCTGGGGCCTGCTGTAACCCTGGCCACTTCCCCCTGGGGCTGCCCTAGGAGGAGCTTTGGAGGAGGTATAATTTGTCTTTGACAGTCCTCCTTCCTCTGGCTGCCTTTCTCAATTGCTTCCTCTATCAGCAACTTCCCCTCTCCAACTATTCTGAGTTTCCTCAAGGAAGTTTTGCTCTTGTCTGTCCTTCAATACACGGTCCCAGGCGCCGGTCTGTTATTCCTTGGGTTCCATTTTACCAGTCCTGCTCTGAGCCAAATGCTCCTGGCAACCAGAGAGGCATCCCACAGCAGGTACCAAAGACTGATAAACTTTATTGTCTGATTTGTCCAGGAATCTGCACATTAAGAGGGGTATTCTGAAGACATGCATTCAAAGAAAAGAGCTTGCGAAGGTACCTGTTCTAGGGAAAGTCACACTTTTAATAACATTAATAAAAAAAAAAATCACCATAATCTCTAGCATTCATTAGGCACAGTGTTAAATAGATGTTGTTTAATCTTCATAAGACCCCAAAGAGGTAGATCCTATTATTATCTCCATTTGGCAGGTGAGGAAATTGCAACTTAGAGTAATTGCTCAGGCTCTTATAGCTTGTAAGTGGCAGAGCTGGGGTTTGAAGATTTTTTTTTTTGGAGGGGGGAGAAGGGATGCAAACAGTGTAGTAGAAAAAGCACATACATAGTCCTTGGACTTCTAAATCTTTCACTCAGCAATTGTTTGTTTGCAATTGTGGCCCAGGACCAGAAGCTTCAACAACATCAGCATCATCTGAGAGTTTGTTAGAAATGCTAATTTCTGGCCCAATGCCAGACCTGACTCAGTAGTCTAGGGTGGAGCTGGAATTTGCATTTCTAACAAGTGTCCTAGTAATGCTGATGCTGCAGGTTCAAGGACCACCCCTTGACAATCACAAGCCCAAAGGGTGGGATAAAAATACCAGCCCTGCATCCCTTATAGAATTGTGGCAATCAAATGTGATAGCATATAAAGAACTTTGCAAATTAGAAGGGGCCTTCGTGGCACAGTGGTTAAAGTGCTTCGCTGCTAATCCAAAAGCTGGCAATCAAACAACCACTCCATGGATAAAGCAATTCTACTCCACCCTATGTTGTTGTTAGGTGCCATCTAGTCGGTACTGACTCATAGTGACCTTATGCACAACAGAATGAAACACTGCCCAGTCCTGAGCCAACCTCACAATCATTGCTACACTTGAGTTCATTGCTGGTGCCACTGTGCCAATCCATCTTGTTGGGTGTCTTCCTCTTTTTCTTCGATCCTCCACTTTACCAAGCATGATGTCTTTCTCCAGGGACTGGTCCTTCCTGATAATATGTCCAAAGTACAAGAGACGGTGAATCTGGCCATCCTGGCTTCTAAGGAGCATTCTGGCTGCACTTCCAGCACAGATTGGGTTGTTCTTTTGGTAGTCCATTGTACTTTTAATATTCTCCGACGGACACCAAAACTCACAAGCATCAATTCTTCTACGGTCTTCCTTATTCGCTGTCCAACTTTCACATGCATATGAGGTTATTGAAAATACCATGGCGTGGGTCAGGTGCACCTTAGTCCTCAAGCTGACATCTGCCCTATCGGGTTGCTGTAAGTCCAACTCAAAGGCAGTGAGTTTGGTTTTGGTTTGAATGATGATTTAAGAGTGTATTGTCAAATAAGCAAACAGGGACAGCCCTAAAAGAGGAAGAAGAAATGAATTCTACAAGCAAAGATTGGCATAGTTTGACAGTTACAGCTCCTGCCACTTATATCAAACACATGGCTTGACAGCATTGTTACTTATGCCTGAGGGAATTCCAATGATTCGAGAATTCCAGTGATGCTTGGATCACCTGAGAAGGGACCAGTTTCTCCCTACCCCATCTGCCCTCCTGTAAACACAAAATACCTCAAGCTGCAGGTTTAGCTCTACTAAACCCTACAGTACGTTTAGGAGTACCTTTGCCACCCTTGCTGGCTAATGAAGGATTGATACTGTTAAGTCTCATCTCAATATTTTCTGATCTTCTCATCTCAATATGCCCTTAAAGCAGGGCTTCTCAAAGTATGGTCCCTTGAGAAGCAGCAGCAATAGCAATCTATTTTTATTTAAATTCTCACTCCCCATCTCAGACTTCCTACATCAGAAGTTCAGTGAGTGGGGCCCAGGAATCTGTGTGTTAACAGATCCGCCCTGGCGCATGCTAAGTTAAGTTTACAAACCACTGCCTTAGCGCCTCATGTTTCCATTGGAAGGCACTTAACCTCCTATCGCCTAATGTTGTTTAGGCCACTGAGCTACTCATCTGGTGCCTAATTGGTGTTAGGTAGAATGTATGACTCACCTGGTCACCTGCCTATGTAGCAGAGTCCAGATATCTAGCTGACTACTTGTGAGCCCCTCTTGCTTATGAATGTGGACTACGCCCTTACCCACCTCAGCCAGTGCTATCCTTTTCTGTCTCAAAGTGGGCAAATAACGTCTGTCTCCTGTCCTCGTCTCTCCCGGCCCCATTCAACCAACATGTTGCCTTTTTCTACGGATGAGGATCTTCATTATGTCACCTTAGCTACAAGTGCCACCTTGTACTATGTTCAAGTCACACGAGACACATCTTCATTCCAAGTCCTTGAACCTCTAATAATCCCATTCCTACTCCAGTCTGGATGTGGCTTCTCCCTGCCCCTCTCCCCATGGTCCAGTGGTTGAACCTCAGTGTGTCTTGCAGTCCTAATGACAGAACTAGACTTTTTCAGGCACCAATGTGAGAGATGTCTGTCCTTACCAGATCCATGCACTCTGAAGACAGTCTGGTTGCTACTGCAGCCTGATTGGGGAACTTCTCCTTAATAATATCTGAGTATGTTATTTTAACTCGGAGCATTGTAATACTGTAAAGATGAATCACTGAGAATGGTCAGTTAACTCCACACTATAGAATTAAATATCCCACAACCCTCTGGGGTTCATGGGTGGGGGAGGGTGACTATAAAGGAATAGTAAGAGGGAGTTTATTGGGGTGATGGAAATGATCTGATGAAATCATTATGGTAATGGTTGCATCTGGGAACTTATCCCCAAAGAAATAATCAGAGAAGCACACAAAGATTTATGTGCAAAGATGCTTAATGCAGAATTATTTATAAAAGGCAAAAAAAGGGAGAGAGAGATGCAATTTAGAGCAATAGGAGGAACAGTTACAATAAAAATAAATCCATATAACATAGTATTCAATGTGCATTAAGAGTCATGTTTCTTAAGAAGAAATTCTAATGTTATGGGAACATGTTAACATTATACTGCTAGATCAGAAAAGCAGACTATAAATTATGATTTTTAAAAAATGATCCAAATTATGTAACATGTTGTTCTTCGGTAATGTTGAGTCCATTTTAATTCATAGCAACAACACATGACAGAGCAGAACTGCTCCATAGGATTTTCTAGTGTGGCGCTGTGGGTTAGTGCACTGGACTGCAAAGCTGGTTTGATCTGCAAGGTTGGCGGTTCAAGCTCACCAGCCGCTCCTCGGAAACCCTATACAGGGTCATTATGGGTCGGAACCGACTTGACGGCACTTAATAACAATGTTTATAGGAGTAGATTGCCAAGTCTTTGTCTTGAAGAGCCATTGTTGTTGTTAAGTGCTGTCTAGTCAATTCCGACCCATAGCGACCCTGTATAGGGTTTCCAAGGAGCAGCTAGTGAGCTTGAACCACCAACCTTGCAGTTCAAATGACTTTGCAGTCTGACACATTAGCCCACAGTGCCGCACCAGGACTCCTGAAGAGCCACTGGGTATGTTCAAACCACCAACCTTTCAGTTAGTTACGTTATCAAGTCTAGATATAGTTACCTCTATGTTAACATAGAAAAAACACTGGAGGTAAATATATCTAGACGTTAGCTGTGAAAACTTTAAGTTGTGGGGTTATGGTGGCTATTTTATTTTTTTATGTTTTTATCCCTAAAACAAGTATTCAAAAATGAGTGTATATTACTTTTATAATCAGACAAGAATGAACAGTACACTCCCCCACTTCAACTAATAGGTGCCAAGGACTGGTCTTAGGCTGGGGCAGGCAAGAGGGCAAATGGAAAGAAAGGTACAGGGGACCTGGTGAGAGGACACAAGCACGCTGAAACTGAGGAACAGAGCTGGAAAAGAAACCTATCTCTCAGGCTGAGACCTATCTCCAGTTACCAAAGGCAGAGGAAATGTGTTGGAGGCAGGCTGTTCAGAAAATCCCCAGGGACCTGAAGGGTGGAGTCTTGCAATCTCAGCATCAGTGCTGCTCCTAACAAGTGCCACCGTTATTCCTTTTGCCATTTATGGAGCAACTCTTACGTTCTCAGCACTATGCTGTTGTTAGGCGCCATTGAATCAGACACTGCCCACCCATCCTCACAATTCTTGTTCTATTTGAGGCCACTGTTGCAGCCATTGTGTCAATCCTTCTTTTTGTCCTTTTCCAGGGATGACATG